CCACCCTTGTCGTTAGCACTGGCCCCCCGTGTCCCTCCCAGGACCCTGGTGCCCCTTGCTCTAGGTGCTGCCCCCTGGCCATGCCCCCACACGCTGGGTCTCCCCTTCCAGGGGAACCCCCACCCACTAATCCCACCTCGCCTCAGTGTAAGGCTACTGCCAGTCATTGTCTAGCCCCACGCCTGGGGCAGACTGCAGTATCAGCCACTCATCACTGGCAAGGTTGGGTTTGGACCTGCTGCCTTGGCCTACACCTGGGTTGCCCTCTGTATTAGCCTAATACTAGGCCGCAGCCTGGGGCTTTCCAGGCTGGAGCTCCTCAGCCCTGCTCTACTCAGGTACCCTGTCTCTGCTCCCTGCAGCCAGGCCCTTCTCTCTCTGAGTGTAGAGAGAGACTCTGCTGTGCTCCTGGCTCCCAGCCTCTTTATACAGGCCAGCTGAGGCCTGATTGGGGTATGGCCCAGCTGCAGCTACTTCCCCAATCAGCCTAGGTAGCTTTTCCCACAGCCCCAGCCCTCTGCAGGGCTGGCTTTAACCCTTCCCAGGCAGGAGAGAGTGTCCACTCTGCTACAGGCACTAATTGGTAGCTTGTTGGCATTCTTGGCAGAGAAGGCAGGGAATGACTGAGCAGGGACAATAAACAATTCCTAGGAGTAACTAGTCTAAGGGACTCTGAGACATTGTTGGGGTAATCTGTGGAAGCGTGCATGGCGGTTACTTGTGGTCTACCTGGTTTGTGGAGAAACAGAAAACTTAAATTATGTCTCTGTCAATCCTACATCTTTCACCAGCATTAAATTCATATGGAACATTTATTTTTGTAATAAAAAATATTCAAAGAATTATCTTAATATGAAAGTAAGAAGAGTCTTCCAAGTTCTTTTTCTTACGCTTACAAGCAAATGTTCAGACATGCTGTATTTTAATTTAGGTCATGCAAGGTTCTGGGCAGAGGCAGTGGTCCATGGAGTAGGAGCTGTGTGTGCAGCAGGAGAGTTTGCTCTCTGCCTTGATCTCTGATTAGAATCAATTTGGAGGCAGAGCTGCTCTACGGGAACTGGGCATTGGTGTTGGACAAAGATTCTTGAAAGAAGCGTTTGCTCTGCATGCTGATTGTGACCATCTGTTTTCGAGGACTATGTATCGATGTAAATAAAATAAGTAACACTTTGAACATACCCAGATATTTCTGCTTTCTCCTCTACTGAGATACTAGGGCCCAGACATCTGCTACCAGTCGACAGAGGACTGATGCTCATGTCAGAATGGGATATTGGTGCTGGAAGGGGAAACAATATTAAGTGATTAGTTGTATTGTATTCACTGAATGTTTCCATGTCACAAGAAACACATATGCAAATAGTAAAGACAAAGACAGAAATGATCACCTTCTACAAGAGTAACTAAGAACATAGACAGCATTTCACATTCTTTATTTCCCTTCTTCAATGAGAGGGAAACTGAATTTAGTAAATAGCGATAAAATATTACAATGTGTAAGGTAGAAAAAACAAAACTTCCAACTTGCTATAAATGCATTACCTATGATAACTATAACATGGGAGACTGATGAATAGGGAAGTGTTAAACATTTGCTGTGGAATTCTAAGGGCCAGTTTCTGAAATCCATGTTCACATTGAATAGCACTCCAAGACTGGTTCCATTGATATCAGTGGGATTAGTTGCAGAGTAAGGCTATCAGAACCACTTCAGTTAGAATACATAGGCAACCTAGAGTTCT